AGTTGCCAACATTTATCTTCCACCATATTGACTTCAATTGAATTAAATAGCTTGCCATCACAAGATCACTGAACCGTAACAAGTAATTAAGTGCCACATTGTCAAAATTTGACAACTCTACAAAGCCTTCGTGCTCATCGTGAGCTCATCAAGTTACAGACGGATTTACTTACATACAAATAATTGTAATTAAAGTTAATCCGCAGCTGCAATTTAACTATTTGAGATAATTTCATTTCGGGTGAGAAAAGTCAATTCCAAATTCATTTATGGCCGACTATACGTGGGCTCAACTGTAGAGAACATGTCAAACAAAAATGAGCTAAGTCGTCTGACTGATTTCCAACTACTGTATTAATTTTTTATTTCTTATTTGCCAATTTGTGTGAATGTGGCAACAGCGGTTGAAAGGCGCGAGAGCTGCAATGCTTTTGGGCGATAGTCTATTGGCAGAATGGTTTGATTGTGTAGAATATAATAAAAAAGAATTCATGTTAAAGACACCGTGAACTACCGACAAAAGGCGAGCAGAATCAGTCAACGGTACAAGCAAATACGCAAATCACAAATAAGCAGAAGGTTTGCGAAAAGAATTGACGCAAACTAGTGCGGTGCGATCGGTTACGACCTGAACGCAATGTTGTAAGTTTCGGGTTTAAAGATTATTCATTATATAAAGGGTTCTTTCAAAAGGACGCTGCCAAAGTAGACCTATAGGGACAGTAAGCTGCGCCATATATTTGCCATTTCATCATGGAAAGATATATGATCCAACAGCTAGTCGAAATTATTTAAATTTACCACCGAAATTCGGATCTGTGGCGGCCTCAACTTTAAGAGCGCTACGACCAATTTATGTCCGGCATCGTTGCGCGTCTAGTAGAAAAATTTGAATCAACAGGCACAGTACAAAATGTTCCCGTGCCAATTAGACAAAGAAGTGCCCATGGTGTCGATAATATTGTTGCCGTTGGCGCATCCAAATCAGTCTCTCACACGTTGTTTTCTAGCGTTGGGTAAATCTGTGCCATAGAGTGGCGAATTTTGCGAAAGGCCTTCGCCTACATCCTTACAAGATCAAATTCACGCAAGAACTGAATCCATTTGACTCCATGAGTCTCCATTGCATCCCGAAAAAATTATGGTTTGTTGCGGTTATGGGCCAGTGGCGGTATTGGGCTGTACTACTTCCATGATGCTCAAGACAGCTCATTGATAACCGTATATTTTTGGACTGAATTGGATGATATGGACTTGGACAATATGTGGTTCCAACGATACGGCGCCACAAGTGACGCAGCGAATGCTACAATCGATTTTTGGTGAATGTGTTATCTCACGAAATGGCTCAGTTAATTGTTCGTGCGGTTTGACATCGTTAGACATTTCCTATAGAGCTACGTTGGATCTAAGGTTATGTCAACTAGCCAGCGATGTTTGATATCGAACATCGAACGTGAACGATTTGTACTTCAAAACCGTCGATAATTGGGTTCAGCATTTGGACTTCTGCATGCGTGCCCGTGGTGGCCATGCAAAAGAAATCGAGTTCCACACATAATGGCTCCGAATGTACTTTTCCATTAATATAGAATTTCATTGGTATCCCAAACTGTAGTCCTCTTATTGAAAACCGTGTTATATGAAGTGCTGGAGAGTGCAACTAACCGAACTGAGACAATAAGTAGATGGATAACTTACTTTAATGTCGATATACAATTAGTGAAAAAAAAAAACGGCTGTAGCTTTTGGGTTTCATAGTCGTATTTATGTTATCTTCTAGTCGTATCGGCGGGCTATTCTTCTTTTTCGTGTTATACATATGACTTAAAGGTTAGGTTAAGCTAATTTTATGGCTGATTTTCAAGATATTAATCACGCTAGTCCTTTCTAAAACGTCTGTGGTTGGTACACGAGATCCAAGGTGTTTCATACTCTCGCAAAGAAAAGACAATTGTGGTGGAAGTGTCGAATTGAATCTAAGTTTTATCTTTCAAAGCAAATTCTACAACTGCCATTCAACAAGATTTTAACCTGTTCCTTTGAATTTCGACAGGACAGTGGCCTGTTAAAATATCTACCTTAAGAAATGAAGGACCAATGTGAGGGTGAAGAGCCGCTTACGATTGAACTAGGAAGGATTTAACCTGTTCTTTTGGACTTCGACTAGACAATAATCTGTTAAAATATCTGTTTAAAGGAATGACAAACGACTTACGATTGAGCTCAGGCCCGAAGGGTTTGCGAGTCGTCAAGCTCACGCTCCACTCATTTAGTAGTAAGACGCAGGAAGACAATAAGATTCATACGTTCTTTAAATTGATCAATCGATCAACGGTTCCAGGAACTGTTGTACAATACACGCTGTCCTGGTAATGAGCACTAACCAGTCGTTTTGATGGAAGAAGTTTAATAGCAGGAAAGTTAATAAGACCTGCTAAAGTAATGGTTCCTGAAGCGCACCAAAGCGAACTATGAAATATGAAAAGATGGTGTTCAGTGCAGTCCTGACCTACCATTATTTTGATATCTTAAATGAAATTCGATTGACAAAGACGTACGGGAACGGTACCTTCCTGCTGTAATCTTTGGCAGATCATTAGTGATGTATTTCTAGGGACTATATAAATCATTTTATGTGAGAACATGAACTTTTTACTAAAGTGTACTTACCGCTTTACGTCGTTGTGTGGATATATAGTTAGTATAGTTAGTATGGCTGAGGACGATCGTCTTTCCAGCGAGTTCTATACCACTTCTTTTTTTCTAACCAATCGTTCTTCCTTCTCGTCAATTATCCTTTGGCGTCAATTAGAGATTTCAAGTGTAACCAGGTCCTGCTCCACCTGGTCTTTCCAAAGGAGTGGACGACTTCATTTTCTTCTGTCTTTCCCGATGGGTACTGTGTCAAATACTCTCAGAGCTGGAGCGTTTTCACCCCATTCGGATGACATAGACGAATTTATCTACGACTTCGATGTTAAGATCTCGAGCTAAAGAAAAATAGAGAATACAATAAGTTCGATGGGTTTTAGAACAATTTTTTAAATTTATTAAATTAAATTTATTTAAATTTAAATTTATTTAAAAAATTTAAAATTTAAATTTATTTAAAAAATTTGCCTTCAAAGCCATTTTATCCTTGGGGATCAGTGATGTCACATAGCTGTATAATTCTTCATACATAATTCTGCGTTGGGTATAAACGGCAAGAAACTAACGCTTGCAATAGCTGGAATAGTAGCGCACTTCAATTGTAGATGGTGATTTATGCTACGTGAGAATGATGAGCGGGAGTGAAAAGCAACGAGCGCACGCTATGCAGCTTGGGTGCGGCTCATCCGTTAAGCCTATTAAATATACAACTGTGACAATGAAGTGATTTGCGCATTATCATGCAAAGAAGCGACAAATAAACACGCCCACACACACACACACACACACCACCCAGTGAACTCGACCGGCCGCTCGTGCAATTCGGGTGTGCGCAGGAGACGGGAAGTACAAGCCGGTTGGCGTCAGTCGAGGGCAGCCAGTGTTTTCTTGCGATTTCTCAGTAATTTTGCCACTTTCAAATTTAGTTTTTCACACTTACCCTCAAGCTCGGCCCTGCTGCTATCATTTCATGCCAGCGCAGCGTAATGCCACAACAACAAATTAGACCAAAATTACGGGGTGTCAAGCAATATGACGCTGATGAGATAGCAAACGCGCCGGCACCTAAAAAGCGACTAAGTGAAATTTATACAAAATGAGAAGAATAAAAGTGAAAAAAAAAAATGTTTTGAAATAGAGCGGGTGTAACGGATGGCTTGTGGTGTTGCCAACTGCTTGGAAGTGGAATGAAAAGGGAAGCGCAGCGACGGAAACGTGGCGCTGGCAAAGCGCTGTATTCACTTGGAGTTTGGTTGAATCTGTGTCAGCGCAAGTGTGTGTGTGTGCGATCTAACACCACGCTATTCATTTCTGTTTACTTTGTTCATTTGAGAATTATGCACTTTCCAAAAATACTCAGCTGCTTAAAGTGGAGAAGTGGAAAATTAGTGAAAGCAGCAAGGATGTTGACAGAGCAAAGCACCACCAGTTAGCTGAGACAAAGTAAAAGCAGCGCGAGTGTCACGAGTGCGAGTTTTTTTTTTTTTATCTGGTGAATTTTTGAACTTATCGCACTTTTGCAAGGTTGCATTTGAAAGACCAGCTTTTGGCGGTGTCAAAAATATTCACTGCGTAATGAGTTCTTATTGTTGTTGCTGCACAGCTAAATTAAGTTGTTTGCTTAAGTGGCAGCTTTAGAGAATTTAGTAGTTTGCTAGTTTGAAAGTTTGCAGGTTTCCAGTTTCGTTATTTTGTTTCTGTTTATGTATACTTATATTTGCAAAAATTTCTTTTTATTTTAAATGATTTCGCACTATATATGTAGCTACTAAAACACTTCCTCCTTTTATCATGTATTTTTTGCATTTTCCTGGACAGCTTTCGCATTACTTTAGGTCACTATTTCCCAAATGGTCCTACTGCAAGTAAATTTATACGATGTTGTAGGCATCATTAAGCTATTTGGCTCAACTGTCTTTGATTCGAATTCTCCGGTGCTGAAAGATCTGCGTTCATGTGCTGTCAGTTTTCATCGCTGGCTATCATTTTTTCAGCTAACTTTACTGCTCATTTTCCTTCGAAAGCACTTAAAAAAGGTATGGTCGTCTAGTAATTCGTCTCCATTACAACATGCAGGACTTTCCGTTTTGCACATGTTTTACTGGTATTTTCTGAAATACTCGTGATGATGAAAGCATTTGTGTTAAGTAGTAGGTCATCTCGCCGTATTACCTACTGTCATCTCCTCTATATCTTTGATCAGTTTGGTGGTCCATCGTGCTTTGCGTTTCCTTGTCCACCGCTCATGCCAGAGATGAAGTGTTTGATTCCTCGCCTGTTGTCTTCTGTATAGGTATTTCTATTCCCTTCTTATTCTCACTGTAGCGAGTAGGTCTATTCGAGTGATGGCACTTATCTCTAGCACGGCGGATTCTGATAAAGTGCGGTACGCCGAAGCGACTCTCAAGTCGGCTGCCCTCTGCCACTTAGCAAGTACTTACCATTTCCACGTTTAGTATATCGACCCATCTTTTGCTGCTTTACAACATACTGACTGCATTGTGTTCATGAGCAATTAATATCAGTTTGTAAGCGGAGTTCCGGTAAGCTAAGTCGTGTGAATCCAACCGTGTCTGAGTTGGGAGTAAAGCTTGCGTTAGTTTCCATCTAGCTATGCCGGTGTTTCATACATGTGATTGTGACGTCAGCGATTTCATCTGAATAACCAGTCAATTTTTGACGTTTTGACGTTTAAGATTCGATATTTTGACGTTTAAGATTTCGTCGTAGTTGACATTATGTTAGGGGATAGCAAAACTGTTTGAGGTCATAAACAATTCCTCTAAGAAACTGAGCATTGCTAGTAGAATAGCTTAACTTGTCATTGTTTTCTGAATATTCAATCCTTTCGATGACCGTAGGGTGTCCAAAGTACCTATCACGACGACTACTTTGAGATCTCCTAATCGTGCTGGTTCATTTAATCGCAGCTTCAAAGCTCTTGTCCATCTTTTTGGGCCAGTAAAAGCTCCAGCTGGGAGTTTGAGCTTAGCTATTGGCTCTAGTTACTGGACTTATCTAGCTGAAATTTCAACGTTATGATCGTGATATTAGCGAATAAATTCATTGTTAAATCAAAACATCAAAAGGTCGTGGCGATTGATCCGCTGTCTCTAAGATCTTTTTTTATTTCAAATGATTATTTGCGTTTGGTTCAGCTGAACCAGTCGAACTCGATTGGAGCTACAACTCACCCTTTCCAAATCTCCATTACGACTAACTTTCTAAAATAATTAAATTCGGAATTAATCTTAAACATCTTAAAATCGTTTTTCGGGTACAACACGCATCAAAACTCACCAGTGGTAACATTGCTTATATGTGTGAATTATACCCTTTAGATTCCTGGTGAATTATCTAAGGACAAGTCAAGTTTAAGGAATCTTTTGTATTTGTGAAAAGGTATTATAGCTTCGTTTCTAGCCGGCCATGATGTATTTTGTTTTAAATTTTAAAATATATTTATAAGGCCTGACCAAATATGATGAAGAGTAACTTAACTTATCTTCAGCATGCATGGTTTACTTGCCGATGGCATACATATTTCGAAATATTTACGCTTTAATCATCCAGACATATCAGGAAAAACAAAGCACCATTAGTTAATGATATTATTAGTAATATATTTTTTAGATAATTATTTTACACACGAAATTATAACTGTTAAAAACTAATGAGGCAGATAAAACTTATACAGAGAACGTATCGGTTTCAGTAGTACTAAGTTCGTCTATTAAGTTAGCCGCCAAGAATGTTCTTTAGCGACGCCAAACGTAAACAAGTCTTATAACGACGTTTTAGTCGTTCTGCTCGCTATGAAGCAAAAACGAATACGAATATTGCGCGCTCTTTTCGCTTTCATGCCACAAATTTAAAATGCGAGCACACAGTACCAAATATTATAGAATTCTTCGAATGTCACCTCACCTGGCGCAATAATTGTTCATACAGTTCAGGGGCGCTGGTGCTACGAAAACCGATCATCAAGTTGAAAGCTAACGTTGTGCTCGATATTTTTCAGGCGAATGTACGACTCGTGAATGTTTTCAACAAAACAGTTGATTAAGTTAAGTAACTAGCTTTACATTGACTAATTCAGAGACCATTATCGGCCGTTCCGACAAATAAACAGCATCTTGGTGAAAAAAAGATAGGTCCAAAATTTCAGATCGATATCTCAAAAAACGGAGGAACTAAATCGTATACAGACAGAGAGATAGACGGACATTCATTTTCTTTTACAACGTCTCTGACGTTTTCTTTTGTGTGACAACTTAATATACGAGTATTACTAAAGCATGAAATCAAGTAATGCTCGAAGTTTTGGCTTAATGACGACATATCAAAAAAACCGTGGTTATTTTTGAAATATTTACCATTTCCAAGTGGCATATAAAATAGAAATTATAATCAAAAATAATATTCCTTCCATCATTATTCTTCTTCTTTACCGGCGTAGACACCACTTGCACGATTATAGCCGAATTAACAACAGTGCGTCAGTTGTTCTTCTTTTCGCCAGGTGGCGCCAATTGGAGATTTCAAGCGAAGCCAGGTCCTTCTCCACCTGGCTCTTCCAACGGAGTGGAGGTCTTCCTCTTCCTCTGCTTCCTCCGGCGGGTATAGCGTCGAATAATTTCAGAGCTGGAGTGTTTTCGTCCATTCGGACAACATGACCTAGCAATCGTAGTCGCTGTCTTTTAATTCACTGAATAATATCGGTGTCTTTGTATATTTCATACAACCCATCGTTCCATTGAATGCGATATTCGCCGTGGCCAACGCGCAAAGGACCATCTTTCGAAGAATCTTTCTCTCGAAAACTCGTAACGTCGACTTAACAGTTGTCGTCATTGTCCATGCCTCTGCAACATATAGCTGGACGGGAATAATGAGTGACTTATAAAGTTTGGCTTTTGTTCTTCGAGACCGCACCTGTTGGCATTAGTTTTCCCATTTGCTTAGCTGCCTTATCCAGTCTGGAGTCATTATCATATGCTCTTATAAAAGATTGTAACTGGCCGATTAAGTTCTGCAGCTCGAATTCTTTTCTAGAGCAGCAGATAGAAGAAGTCGCACTGTAGGGAGTCGCCTTGTCTGAAGCCTCGTTCTGTATCGAACGGCTGAGAGAGGTCGTTCCTGATTCTAACGCAGCTTTTGGTTGTTATCACACAGCCGTGTTAGTTTTGCGGGAATATCAAATTCAGATATCGCGGCATAAAGGCAACTGTTTTTCGTGCTGTCGAAAGAGGTCTTTTCCAAAATTTGGCGCATGGTAAATATCTGGTCAGTTGTTGAACTTTAATTTTTCACACAATACACTCAATAGAACCTTACACGCTATGACGAAGAGACTTATCCCACGATAGTTGGCGCGAATTGTGGGGTCCCCCTTTCGGATTCGGCAGAGCACACTTAAATTCCAATCGTTGGGCATGCTTTCGTCTGACCTTATTTTATAAAGAAGCTGATGCAAGCTATTTATCAGTTCCTCGTCACCATGTTTGAATAGCTTGGCCGGCAATCCATCGGCCCGCTTTGTTGTTCTTCAGACGGGTAATTGCTATTCGAACTTCTTCATGGTCGCGTAGTGGAACGCCTGTTGCATCGATCCTTCGACCATTACATGAGGAATAAATTTAAAAAGGTTGCATGAAAATTTAAAAACGATCTCTTTCGAGAAATACCGATTTAACTAAGTTAAATTTTTTTTACAAATACTCACACATCTTCGAAATAATTTGTCGGATCATCTTACAATTTTCGGAGAATAGTCTTATATTTACAAGCATTTGATATATTAGCAAAAACAAAAATCGATTTTTTTGAAAATAATAAGTCATAACAAGCTCTTAAATTGGATAGTTTTGTAAAGAGAGCAAGGGGATGTTGAGTCCAAAAGTCTATTGCCTTCCCCTCTCGTGACTTTGAGATACGACTCGTCGCAAACTAGTCACGCAACCACTGAATTTACCACCTCCATATACCATATAATAATTACATAATTTGAATAATTATAATAAGCTTTATCAAGAATTTATAATAATTTTGTATTCGAAAACATTCAGTAGTACTTATTATAAGCTAGAGTATTTAGAAATACGTCGAGCTCATTTAGTACCAAACAGTGGTTACATTTATTGGTTTTTTGATTTGAAAATACAAAAAAAAAAAATTTTAAACGAAAGGCTTTGCATCTGAAGATTCTACAACTAAGCAAAATGTGCATCAAGTTCAAGGCCTCTGCCTTAGTTTTTCTGCTCTTGGTCGTTCAAACTTGCCGTGGTCAGCGCTCCAAGTCGCCGCGTTTTGAAAGTAAAACCGAATCAGCTGGAGACTCGTACCTTAAGGTTAGCGCTATCAAATGCACGACTGCCGCACCAACAGTTATTGAATACTTTCAATGCTATCTAATTCGGCGCAACGGCAGCAACTTAATTACATTTACGCTGTCGCTTCTGCAACCTGTTGAACGGTTCGACATGAATGCTGTATTCGATATTTTAGGTCCGACTAATAATTACTATAATATCTTCAAGACGGACCTTAATTGCTGCGAATTTTTTTTAGTTAAAAAGCACAGCATTTATATAGTTAACAATATCATGAAACTGGTATATGATGCCATTAATGAAAAACCTACGTGTCCAGTGAAGGCGGTGAGTTAGTTTGATTCCTCATCAATTATATTTTCATCACCTATATTTGTTAGCATTTCAACTTCAAAATCACGGAACTTGATGTTAGCCTACTAAAAGTGCCTAATTATGTACCGAAATCGAACTTTCGACTTGGTCTGTATTTTCGATCAGATGGCCGGCGTGCTGCTGATATCATGTTGAGCGGAGTGATCGTAAATTCAAAATGATAGCTTACAATATGACATACTCAACTGTAAAGAGGGTTATTTCTGATAAAAGAATAAAATCTGCTACAGGTTGTTTAAGTCCCTTGCAACTGAATAAATGCAGTCTAAATCTATAAGTTTTTAAAGTTGATTTTCATTGATTACATATGTAAACATTGTTCGTGTCATACACACTTTTTGATTATTTTTGTTTGTGTTGCTGTACCCACATTAACAATATATTATAGTTTCGTTTCAATTGTTACAGCTACATATTATTTGCTGATCTCATATACGTATCTTTTTGAAAATAACTTTATTTATGCGACTGCCATTAACGCCAGGAGAAGGCGAACCTGATTCCTCTATCGAGGCTTATGGAGCAAACATTAAATTGCCCGACCATGAAGAAGTTCGAATAGCAATTACTCGTCTGAAGAACAACAAAGCGGATCGATGGATTGCCGGCCGAGCTATTCAAACACGGCGGCGAAGAACTGATAAAGAGCATGCATCAGCTTCTTTGTAAAATATGGTCGGTCGAAAGCATGCTCAACGATTGGAATTTAAGTGTGCTATGCCCAATCCTCAAAAAAGGAGACCCCACAATCTGCGCCAACTATCGTGGGATAGGTCTCTTCGTCATAGCGTGTAAGGTTCTATTGAGCGTATTGTGTGAAAGATTAAAGCCCACCGGCAACAAAGTGATTGGACTTTATCAGTGTGGCTTTAGACCTGGCATATCAACAACTGACCAGATATTCACCATGCCTCAAATCATGGAAAAGACCTCTCGTCGATTTTAAAGCTGATTTGGACAGCACGAAGAAGAGCTGCTTGAGCAATTCCAAAAGCTCTGCCAGGATCGGGAAAGACCTCTCCGAGCCGTTCGATACCAAACGACGTTTCAGACACGGCGAGTCCTTTTCATGCCAGTGGAACCAGTATTAATAGCAACAATAATATCAGTTTCGGAATCGAACGCAGAATAACTCTTACTACTTCGGACTGAGTAGCCAAACTCTATAAGTCAATCATCATCCCCGTCTTGTCATATTATGGTATGGACGATGACAATAACTGATGAGTCGACGTTGTGAGTTTTCTAAAGAAAGGCTTTGCGAAAGATTTATGGTCCTTTACGCATTGGCCACGGCGAATATCGCATTCGATGGAATGATGAGCTGTACGAGATATACGACGACATTGACATAGTTCAGCGAATTAAGAGACAGCGTGCTGGTTAGGTCGTATCGTCCGAATGGATGAAAACACTCCAGCTGTGAAAGCATTCGACGCAGTATCAGACGGGGGAATAAAGGAAGAGGAAGACCCCTCGCTCGATGGGAAGACCACGTGGAGAAGGACCTGGCTACACTTGGAATCTCCAATTGAAGCCAAATAAGGAAAAGGAAGAACGACTGGCTCTGCGAATACTGGAAGGTAACGATTTTACTGTACTAAAGTGTTTGCACCGATACCAAACATATTCGGTTAAGATCTTGTGGGAAGATTATAGTATTCGTACCCACGGCTATCTTTCGAAAGGCAGTGGGGTTTTTTCATTTTCTGTATACGACAAAAAGAACGGCTTCATGATGTCTAGCAGCACTTATTCAGTGAGTCTCTTAAGCTTCAGTTAAGGCACACTGCTTGCAGTCAGCTACTTGGAGCGCGGCCGCCTTCTAGTAGCAGCAAGAGAAGATTTTTTGCTTACATCGACAGTATTGCAAACTCTTTCGACGTGACTATGAATTCATCTGCCTTCATATAAGCACTGAACGCCGTTCACAGTGGATAAATTAACACTTTCACCTCTACCTCACAGTGATTGACAGAAATAGAGCTCGACAACTTCATTTTGAATACTGTAGCAGGTTAATTATTTACTTATACAAAATCGACCCCGACATACCAGTCTTATATCCTATATGCAATGTTTCCCCGCATTACTCTAACCACCTCTTTGCATAACCTATGAAACAATCGCATCTAAGACTGTTTTCTATATGGTCCGACCTTAGGTTAAATGAGGTTAGGTTAATAATCTGATTTCTGGTGAAGCCATGAATAATCCCATTTAGACTGCTAGAGACGTTTGTCCATTAAGATGCGTAGATCTCTTAAATATAGACCAAAAAACAGTCGCATATCGAAAATTTTTCTCATAATTTTATTGATTCGGCTCATATAAATTTCAGCCGATTCGCTGGATTCGTACAAAGTATGGCAATCAAGATGTTTGAACCTTAGTCTGGCAAAAGCTTGACAGAAGGGGGGAAAGTTTTGAGATATTTTCATTTCATCTTCCTCATTGTCACTTTGACAAGTTGCATCCTCCATCTTTAGGAGGGCAGGTACGACGTTTTCTACTGCGCCTTACTACACAATCGGGGTCTGGATAATAGTTACAAGAACAAGAGCAACAAAAACGATGAAAAGGTCTATGCTGCAATAAGAAACTTTCTCTAGTTGGCGCTAAAATTGTACTATCTTTGTTTTGTAACAGAAGAGGAAAAGGAAGAATAGTAGGTTATACATGTATCCACCGGAAGCGTGACAAGGGTTCAAATAAAACATGTGCTTCCTAACAAGGCATCCGAAAAGGTAATATATGTATGCACGCTTGTCGAAAACTGGATAATGTCAAGGCTGTGCGAAGAGAAAGTATACCCTACATAAATTCTGACACAAAGAGTACAAATACGCTCACACAATTGGATACACTGCGCACACACCTGCGATATATGTATATTACTTTATGTGCATTACTTTCTGACCTCAACTACCATTGCGGATACCTCGTATATTCACATAGACCTTATGTATGCTCCTTCATTAGCAGAATTGGGACAAACACTGAGTTAAGAGGGAGCATGAAAGGAGGAAAAATGAAATTTAAAGTGTTTATGAGCCGCGAAAGGCACAAAATGCAAATGTCCCGAATAAATTGTGTCAATTTATTGGCGGTTAGTCTGACATTTTTGTGGTTGCTCATTAGCGACTATCGAATTAGTAGTTGGGCGTGTTGACGTTAGTCAAAAGACAGCAAAGGAAAGAGGCTTACGACAAGGAATGGCACTGTAAAAGAGCAGTAGGAAGGTAATGCTGGCGCGCAAGGGGAACAAACGGCACGGGTCTACACTATACAGTGTGGTAAGGCCTAACGCTGTAGCGGCATCTGTGTTGTCGCAAAATATTAGGAAAAAAAGGTGACAATAAAAGTAATGACGACATAATGCTAGTAAACAGCAACTCAGCAGACGCACATTTTGGCGGTGAGCTGGGCTTTCGCTTTCCATTCTGGGTGTCGAATCGAAAGTATCGCTGCCGTAAATCGAGACCGAGTAACAGTGAACAGCGATACACAAGCGGAAGGCTGAAAAGTAGCTGTGCGTTGCTAAAAATTACACCTTAATTGACGTGAAAATACGAGCCGAGCGCAGCACAATTCCATTCCATGGACATGCTGGCTCGCTACCTGTCGCATTAGCAAACATAGACATGGCAACAGAAAAGCTCGCTTCACCAGCACCAGCAGTGACAGCGCCGACAATGGCGAATTGTCATGCTGGTATGTGTTGCCGATGTCAGTGGCGAATTAATTCAGCAGCAACAATAATATTATCACGACATGCCTACAACAACAAGAATGCTTTTAAAAATGTGGCAACAGCCACATTTTTTGTTGTTATCGTCGTAGAAATTATAAAAAAAAAGTTGCGTTGTCATAAAAATTGTTGCGGTGTAAATGATGTGCGTTACGTGTTGTTCCATCCACGGCGTCCGGTAAAAAAAATGTTAATCGCACAATATATATGTACATATATTTATATTTACATACGCACATGCCTTGTAAATGTGTATAACATGATTACAAAATTCGAGCAGCTTTGCTGAACGCCTCACCACAAAACCATTAAAGCCACAACAGCGCCGCTGCGGCAGCCTTTGCAACGGCAGTGTTTGGCTTGGTTTAAACGCGCCGCTAATTTTGTGTGCAGAATCGAAAAAGCGCCAAAAAATACCCACGAAGTATTACACTTAAAGACTACAAACAAAGCCCTGCACAAGGGACTAAGGCGGCACCTAAGCCTATTATTCAACTAGCAACTACCAGTTAACAAATCAGCGTAACACCGGAAACGCGCTTCAACGCCACCAACCCAAAAGTTCTCATGCAAACAAAAAGTGGTTTACGATGTTGCGAGATTCTCACTTACGTGTGTTCGCACCAAAGCGCTTGCCCGACTACCGTTTGCGGCTTAACCATCTAGACATACAGGGTGATTCATATATCAGTGTGTTCGATGGAACAAGTCTTTTAATCATTTTTTACTGACTTCTGAACGTTTTGTTTAGTTATTAATTAAAATAAAAAAATAAAAAAATGAAAAAAAAAAAAATGGAAAGCTCTTTCTGTGAAAATATACTTCTCGGTCTTCAAAATAATATTCGGTAGTATGTATGAGGGAAAGGGTTTTCTCCATTGTCCAACTTCTTGCAGTGTCGAAACGTTTTCAAAAATTTCGTAAGATTGACTTAATAACTTTAATTTGTCATCGAAAATTTAGATAATATTGTGTAAACGCTGAAAAAAATGTTTGATACTCTCACAAAAATTGACAAACTCAGGCTTTTTTAAGGGCTCTATACCGGTCTAACCCCTTAATCAGTTTAAAAGTCAATTTTTTTCGGTATTGTCAAAATGGTTGGTAACGAAAATGATGTCGTTCTGTTAAACTAAAAATCTTTCAATCTAATATCTGCAATCAGCAGCAACAGAAAATCGGTCTCATGGTTGCTTTTCTAAACTCGCTTAGTTTGAGCCTGAATATTTGAGTTCGTTTGGACGATATGTCACAATACGCGTCTCAGTTGGCTAAGCAACTAAGCTTAGTTTGATTGGAAGTTTTTGTATTACCTCTTTTCCCTGAACCTTGAATGTTCTTTCAATATAGCATTTTAAAAAGCAGATATGTATGTATATATCAAGATTTTATTTATCTGAGCATTTTTAC